CATAGGGAAGGGGTATGGCGCCACATATATACATAGGGAAGGGGTATGGTGCCACATATATACATAGGGAAGGGGTATGGCGCCACATATATACATAGGGAAGGGGTATGGTGCCACATATATACATAGGGAAGGGGGTAAGAGGCCACCTGAGGTCTCAGAGTAGCTCCCATGCCGCCTGTCTGACCTCAGGGCCACATTATATGTTGTTGTCTGGCTCCTCAGCGCCCCCATAACACAGGAATTGGAGGACACGCTCACAGAGTTGTCATCATTGAATGCTGAATACTGAAATTCTGTTAGTGGAAGGGGAACGGTGGGGCGGGTTTGGAGAATTTCCGCTCTGTGCTGAGGAGACGTTGGAACGGGTTCCGTGTTGGTAACCGCACGAGACCTGCCAAGGACTGAACTTTGAGGTTTTGGCTCCATTTCACTTTGTCAGCAGAAAATCCCGTCTCTCCACTTCCTTTCTTCCCACTTTTTGGGGGATTATTGGGAATGGAGGCGCGTGATGCTGCAGCAAGTAAATCATCGCCAGCCGACCCCGTATAGAGTTCCCTCTGCGAAGGACGTCACGTTCCCGCCGCGGACCATCTCCTGATGAAGGTCTGTTCTTTGTAGGTGGTGATGGAGCAGTAGCAGGGACGCGGGGATATGATTGGTCGAGGGAACCTTTCCTAATGGAAACATTGAGGCTGAACTCCTTCTGGACATGCTACTTACTTACTCAGGGATCTACATTCACACCACATTCACACCACTTGCAGGGACATTCACCCTGTGAATATTTATGAATGTTCATCGTGTGTGAATATTGGCAAAAACAAATGTTCTTAAAAGGAGAACTATGAGGTGAGCAGGGGCGTAACTAGAAATCACAGGGCCCCATAGCAAAATTTTGTATGGGGACCCGTGATTTCTAGTTTCAACCCTTGCAGAGACCACCTGAGGGTGACCTTGCAGAGCTCACCATAGAGTCTCTATGGTGGGCTCTGCAAGGTCACCCTCAGGTGGGCTGGGCGCACTCCTTACCTGTCCGCCTCCTCTTCCTCCACGCTCGCTGATAAACCTCCGTCGCCGGGCCCGCCTCCTTCTTCGTCGCCGGGCCCCGCCTCTTCCCCTGCTGCCGACCACGGGCCCCGCCTCCTCCTCCACCGCCGCTGCTGGCTCTCATTGACTCTGTGGAGAGGAACGCGCCGCTGCACAGATTGCTGTCAGCGATCTGAACAGCGGCTTGTTCGTCTTCAGCCGCCAGTGAAAGCCGCCAGCAGAGGATCTCATAGCCACCCAGGCGGCCCGCACGGCATCTGGCCGGGCCCCACTGTGCCCCCAGGGCCCCATAGCGGCCGTCTGGGTTGCTATGGTGATTGTTTTTACGCCACTGGAGGTGAGTGATTTTCACTCGTTCTCATAGTTCGAGCCGACGTGTGACAATAATCACCTGATTCTCAATCCCACTCGGCTGCTAGACTGGTCCCCCACGGCCTCTTCTCCTCTGGGCTTCAGTGGTCCAAGACCCGCTGACATTATCGCCTCTAATGTCGGTCTATTCACCTGCGTCAGAGGAGGGGGGACGCTGAGGGACATTCCACAGCTGGAGCAGATGTGAGCGCTGGCTGCTACAGGATCGAGGATCAGGGGATTATATCTGCTTTAATAAAGCCGCCATACCAAAACTAACAGCTAACCCTTGCGGTGTGGGTGGTAGCCCCACTGTAAGGGTTAATTTAGTTAATTCCCGGAGTTTACTATATTATCTTTTCAGGTGAAATGTATTGTGATGTCATACCACGGTATGGCCACTAGATGGCGCTGAGGAGCATATAAAACAGGCATAGGAAAAACAAAGTAATGCCATTTGCTCCTCACCTCCATCTAGTGGCCATAATGTGGTATGACATCACAATACATTTGACTTGAAAGGAAAATCTATTAAGAACGTTGATTTTGGCATTATTCACAAATGGTTTATAAACACACCCCTTGGTCTTAGACTTTGTCCCTCCATCCGCAGCTGGGCGCATTGGGCATTTGGTGCTCTCCATCAAATTCTTTCAGCGGCAACCGCTTCAGCCTCATCCCAATGGACCTCGATGGCTCTCAGGTCTGTATTAAGGGTAGACCACTAGCGGTCTTCCTTATTTCCTCTGTGCTCTGGGTGGTGGCGTCCAGTACATAGTACTTTTGGGTCTGCGATGGCGGAGGATAGGGTCGTAGCCTCAGATCGGTGACAATATCTTCCATAGCACTGCACTTCAGGATTTCCTCATTCGTGATGCCCAGTTTTCCTGTAGGTATCGCTGGTGACGAGTCCAGTTTTTGAGTGTTTGGGGGTATAGGAAGTATAGAGGGTATAGGGAGTATAGAGGGTATAGGGAGTATAGGAAGTATAGGGGGTATAGAGGATTTAGGGGGTATAGGGAGTATAGAGGGTATAGGGGGGTATAGGGAGTATAGGTCTGGTCCCCCACGGCCTCTTCTCCTCTGGGCTTCAGTGGTCCAAGACCCGCTGACATTATCGCCTCTAATGTCGGTCTATTCACCTGCGTCAGAGGAGGGGGGACGCTGAGGGACATTCCACAGCTGGAGCAGATGTGAGCGCTGGCTGCTACAGGATCGAGGATCAGGGGATTATATCTGCTTTAATAAAGCCGCCATACCAAAACTAACAGCTAACCCTTGCGGTGTGGGTGGTAGCCCCACTGTAAGGGTTAATTTAGTTAATTCCCGGAGTTTACTATATTATCTTTTCAGGTGAAATGTATTGTGATGTCATACCACGGTATGGCCACTAGATGGCGCTGAGGAGCATATAAAACAGGCATAGGAAAAACAAAGTAATGCCATTTGCTCCTCACCTCCATCTAGTGGCCATAATGTGGTATGACATCACAATACATTTGACTTGAAAGGAAAATCTATTAAGAACGTTGATTTTGGCATTATTCACAAATGGTTTATAAACACACCCCTTGGTCTTAGACTTTGTCCCTCCATCCGCAGCTGGGCGCATTGGGCATTTGGTGCTCTCCATCAAATTCTTTCAGCGGCAACCGCTTCAGCCTCATCCCAATGGACCTCGATGGCTCTCAGGTCTGTATTAAGGGTAGACCACTAGCGGTCTTCCTTATTTCCTCTGTGCTCTGGGTGGTGGCGTCCAGTACATAGTACTTTTGGGTCTGCGATGGCGGAGGATAGGGTCGTAGCCTCAGATCGGTGACAATATCTTCCATAGCACTGCACTTCAGGATTTCCTCATTCGTGATGCCCAGTTTTCCTGTAGGTATCGCTGGTGACGAGTCCAGTTTTTGAGTGTTTGGGGGTATAGGAAGTATAGAGGGTATAGGGAGTATAGAGGGTATAGGGAGTATAGGAAGTATAGGGGGTATAGAGGATTTAGGGGGTATAGGGAGTATAGGGAGTATAGAGGGTATAGGGGGGGTATAGGGAGTATAGGGTTATAGGGGGTATAGGGAGTATAAGGTTATAGAGGTTATAGGGAGTGTAGGGTTATAGGGGGTATAGGGAGTATAGGGTTATAGGGGGTATAG